CTTTATTTATGCCTTAAAGGTGTTTTGGTTATGATTTATTAAGTCATGACAAAAAGTTATTTTATTATGACATTTTTTGAGGAGTGCGTATTGTAATATTACCCAAATGGAAGACATCAATCACTCTCTATGCTCTTATTTTTGTCTTTATTTTTGTAGTCAAAACTATAAAAATAGTCTTTGTTTTGCTCTTAATTGCATTTTGATTTTTGAGTTTGCAACAAATTATAAATTGGTGGGTACTTTAGTTTACTACAACATATAAGAGTTTTAGAGATCAAATTTTTTAATCCTTAAAAACAAAAATTTTGTTACAAAAAGTATTTAGGGACTAATTTCTATAATCGTGAGGATAGTCGTTAAAACGTCGTCTCAAAAAGTAAAAAATAAGACTTTTAGCGAATTTTTTTGTTGTTGAAATGTCACTAATAAATACACTTTCAGGGGCAAAATAATTTGGTCTAAAAAAGCATTAATTTTTGAAACAAAAAACTTGGTTCCAAAAAGATAATAATTCATCACTAAATTTCAATTTTTTGTTACTAAAAATATAATAACAACACTTTTCGCAACAAAAATATCTAATCCCTAAAAAATAATTTTGTTCATAAATTTTGGTTTCTAAAATCTTAAATTTTTGTAGTGGTTAGTCAGTCTGGAATATAAATAGCCAGAACTAGAACAATTTTCAAGCTACTCTCTTTGTATATATATATATATAAGTAATTTTATAATTACTTTCAAACTCCAGGGTAATTTTCTATATTTATTTTCTCTGTATTACATTCTTGTTGTGTTAGAAGGTTCATCTCAATTGTTGATCTAGGTGGTACAGAGAATGATTTGAGAATATTGTCCGTGTATACTTTCATTGCATATGAACTTGATAATGTTACTTTCATCTTGAAATGTAACTTGGTTCAATTTGTAATCACACTGGAGAGGTAGATGACACTCACAAATAATTCATGTCGTTCATTTATGCTTTGTACAAGAACATTTTCCCTGTATTTCTAAACCTTATTTTATTTGAATAATTGTAGTTATATAAGAGAAAATGGGGATGGAGGAAAGGCTCCTATGGAGAAGGAAGTAATGGAAGAAAATAGAGGCTTTTCTTATATTTTCAATTTCGAATTATGTTCTTTTGCACGTGAGAGTTTCAAGCATTGTATGTCGCATACGAGCAACTCAATTATCTTGTGAAGGCACTCCAGGTGAGCTTGTGTATATAATTTTTTTTTTAACTGCGTAGTGTTTATTACAATAGTTGGTTTTTTTTTTTTTTGATAGGCAAAAGAGAATTTTATTGATGAAGAAACATGTACAATACAAGTGTTATACATCAATAAAGAAAGTGAGCGCAAAAACAATCATAGGTAAACTTTGCAATCCCAATTAAGTTGGCACCATAAAACAAGCTCAATCATATGCTAACATATACTACAAAAAATTAAGGTTTTAGAGACCAAAATTTAGGAACAAAATTAGTTTTCAGAGACCAAATAATTTTGTTGCGAAAAGTGTTATTATTATTTATAGTAACAAAAATTGGACATTAGTGATGAATTATTATTCTTTTGAGACCAAATTTTTTGTCTCAAAAAATAAACCATTTTGAGACCAAATTCTTTTGTCCCTAAAAGCCTATTTATTAGTGACATTTTAAAAAATTTGGTGCTAAAAGTCTTGTTTTTGACTTTTCGGGACAACCTTTCGGCGACTATCCTCATGACGATAGAAATTAGTCCTTAAATGTCTTTTGCAACAAAATTTTTACTCTTAGAGATCAAAACATTTGATCTATAAAATTCTTACATGTTGTAATGATACCCCCAAATTGGTGAGCAACCAACCAAACCAAGTGTGTTTGGTAACGTTTACGTTTTCAGTTTATATTTACAAAAATTTTATAAACTGGTTTTTGTTTATTTTTAGAAAAACATAAACTACACATAAACTACAAACGTGTTTAGTAATTAACAAAATGTTTAAAAAAATTTAAAAATATAAAAAAGAGTGAGAAATGGAACGTGGTGGCAAGTGGCGGCGGAAGATGGTGGTGGAAAGTGGTGACGGTGGGTGGTGGGTAGCTGGTGGTGGTGGGTGGTGGCGGGTAGGTGGCGGGTGGGGGGGGGGGGGGGGTGGGGGACAGTGGCGGGGGGGGGGGGGGGGGGGGGGGAGGGGGGGGGTTAGCCACCCTTCCTTAAACTTGTTTATTAGCTTTAATCTCTTTATGAGCATTTTAGCATAGTTAGGATTCATGCATGATTTCTAATGTAGTTTCTATTTTGGCTTGGAGTACTCGGTAAGCTTTATGCTTTAGCATCCTTGCATGCGTGTGAGTGACTGCCATGAATAGCATGCTTACCATGAGGCTATGTGTTTACATGATATATCTGCCTGAATGCCTGTGGGTGAAGGTTGGGTTACTTAAATTGGAATAAATCATCAAATGTTTTAAAGCCTACTTACGGGTAGCAAATCACTTTCAAAAACAAGCATGAAATGTTTCGTTCCAATTTAGGCGACCCGGTCTATATTTGCATGCTGTGCGCATCATATAGTAACCTAGGCTAATAAACCGGAATAAGAACTCACAAAGTTTTCAAAAATAGATGTCATGGTTAGTAGAGGCCGGTCTATGACCGGGCGAGCGGGGGTGCTCACGAAGTGACCTTCCCCAATCGTACCCAAGTTCCCGAGCTGAAGCAACTTTGGTGATGACGGACACGTGGCCTTTTGGCACCGAGTCAGGGTTTCCTAAATTTCCCAAAAATAAAATATTTAGGTGGCGACTCTGTATCTGGCAAAGCAGTCCATGTTTGGCACTACTTTTTCAAAAAATCAGTTTCTCAAAACGATTTGCCGGATTTGGACTCTTTGGTTCAGATTAGGAACCGTGACAAGAAAATCGAGTCCGAGCTGTAGCGAGGTCCCCCGCGGGCTTGTTACACAACCAAACCAAACAATAAAAAAAACACTCAAAACTAATTCAATAAACCAAGCACCCCTAACCACTCCCTCTCTCACCTGTTTAAGATTGAAAACAAAGTCATGCACTGTGTAATGCAATCCTACTAGACTACTCGAGCCCAAAATGCTATCCTTGTCTTCACAATGTCCTCCAAGTCAGAAAAATTAGGATGACCTCCATTGAACATAAATTTCCAAATTGACCACAGTAATACTAATGGCACAATCTTCCAAATACTCAGTTCCTTCTTCTTAAAAGTAACACCTGTCCACCATTGTAGTAAGGCTTCAATAGAAGCAGGAATTACCCAACACATATCCCACCACCTCAACATTTCAGACCAAACTCTCCATATCAGTGAGCAATGTAAGAGAACATGGTTTACATTTTCAGTTTCCCCTTTGCAAAAGGCACACAGTGTGCTAGCATTATCATCCAGCACCCCAATTCTATGCAAAAAATCTGAGGTTTTCACTCTTCCCCTCCAAGGCAACCAACCAAAGAACAGAATTTTAGGAGGTGGCACATTTTTTTACACGTGAGACAAATTTGTACATGTTTTTGTCTTTCTTTCTCCAATTTATTTTGAATGTTGATGTGATACAAGTCTATGGGTTTTATTGTGAATTTTGATTTTATTTTTTGAATGAGTGGGTTCAGATTTTCATTGGGTGATAAATTGTCTTGAGAAGAGCTTGGATATAATCCTTTTCCTAGAAATGAGAAAAAACTGATGCTGAAATTTTTAATTCATAGAAATTTGTGAAATATTTTAAGGTTGTATTTGAATCAAATATTTGATGTAATTAAAATTAGGAAGACTAAATTAACACCAAAAATAAACTATAGAGTATATGTACAATTTATCTAAAAATATTGACACAAGAAACAAACGCAGAGACTATTATATAATTTGTCTAAAAAATTATCTTATATTTCATTCACTAATTGCTAGGGGGTGTTGGGCAAGTTGGGTTTGGGCTATTTTTTGGCTAAAGTTTACAAAATGACAAAATAAGCTAAAATAGTTAATAAGACAAAGTGGGCGTTTGGGAAGTTACTATTTTAGTAAGTTATTTTAGTTTTTGACTATTTTAATAAGCTAAAATTTTTATATTTGGGAAGATGATTGGATTTTTTTTGTAATTAGATGTGATATTTGTGAGAGAAAAAATAAAATGATTATGGGTTTGATGTAACATTTTGCCTTATTAGTTATTTTAGCCTATTTTGTTGTTTTGTAGATTTTAGCCCCCCAAAAAAAATAAAAATAAAAAATAAAAAAAGCCTTTCCCAAACACCCCCAAAATGTCATATTAAACCCATAATCATTTTACTTTTTTTTTTCTCACAAACATCACATCCAATTATAAAAAAATTCAATTATATTCCCAAACATAAAAAATTTAGCCTACTAAAATAGTTAAAAAACTAAAATAGCCTACTAAAATAACAGCTTTCTAAACACCCACACTAATAGGAAGTTTATAAAATCAGCTTCTAGGTTATTATAGACTAGAAACAGTTGGGATGTATGAACAAAGCAAAAAGAGAAATAAGAATATTAATGTCCTACATGTACATATAACATTTGTCGCATAATCTATGTAGTAGGTGAAAAAAAATGCTGAAATTATCTAGTAATGTATAATAATTCTCAAACAAAAACGAGTTAGGAAAAATATTTAATAAGTTAGTACTTCCTAACAATGCACATTCTAAAATGATATAAAACTCAAAAACAGAAAAGTAATTGAAACGCATAAAATGCTATGAAGTAAAACTGAAGGATGTTTTCAATTCTCATTACCTTAGAAGGAATTGACAAACTCAGTTTGTAAGTTTTCTAAAAACTAGGACCAGTTAGGACATGAAACCAAACCCAAAAAAAAACAAAACAAAACAAAAAAACAAAAGCAGTTAGAACAAAATTTCAACTGCAATATGCGCTCATGGTAAAGTCCATAGCAACGTGCCTCTAGTTGAAGGGAAAATGAACATGTCAAGTCATCTCAGCCCCACATTATGCAACTATAGCAGACAGACCATTCAATTGCCTCTTCTTCCTCTTCTTACAAAGCTCCACCAACTCCTCCACCACCCCATCCACCACCTCCTCCTCTCTCATCCTTATTTCATCACTCAATTCTCTCTCTTTCTTCTTCACAGTCTCACCACTTTTCTCCATCACAACCTGTTTGATCACTTTAGCCACGTCTTCTCTTAAAATCTTCCCATTCTCATCTCTCATGATCTCCACACCAACACCAATTTCACTCAACAGCCTAGCATTGATTGGCTGATCAAGGTGCATAGGCACAGATATTATAGGGACTCCAAACTTGATCGCCTCCATTACAGAGCTCCACCCACAGTGGCTCACAAAGCCACCAACGTTTGGATTCTCCAAAATTTTTACTTGTGGGGCCCACCCTTGGATGATCAATCCTCTCCCCCCTACCCTCTCAAGAAACCCTTTTGGAAGTGCCTCCTCAACCCTAGTTTTTTGTCCCACTGGAAACCTAACAACCCATATGAAATTGACATTGCTAAGTTCCAACCCATGAGCCATCTCTTCCATCTCTACCTTGGTGAGAAAATACTCACTTCCAAAGGAAACAAACACGGTCGAGCCTCGGTCCTTCTTGTTGAGCCAGTCGGTGATGTGCAAGTGCTCGTCGTCATTGACAGAGGCTTGGACAAGTGGACCAACCGGTACAATTTTCTTTTCAGCTAAAAGGGAGAGGTGATCAATGTATTTTCCTTCAATCTCTCTTGAACTCTTGATCAAAATTATGCTCGCTGATTCTTTAAGGGTTTCGAGCCAGTCGGTGATGTGCAAGTGCTCGTCGTCATTGACAGAGGCTTGGACAAGTGGACCAACCGGTACAATTTTCTTTTCAGCTAAAAGGGAGAGGTGATCAATGTATTTTCCTTCAATCTCTCTTGAACTCTTGATCAAAATTATGCTCGATGATTCTTTGAGGGTTTCGAAGAAGCGGTTTTTCTTTTTATAGAAATTTTCAGAAGATTGAATCAAATGAATGAACTTATCATCCTCATAATCATTAAGATATATCTCTGGAAAAGGAAAGTCCGTACCTGGATTGTTTTTTTGATTGACAAAAAAGATTTTATTAACTCGAAAAAAAAGTACTTTTCACTATTAAAATAGCATTTCTCAACTAGATTCACACATACTCATAGCGAATAACAAAGTCTGTACCTGGATTGTGATAGCGATCAAACATGTAGGAAGTCATTGTAGCGCTGGTGCTTATGAAAACCACAGCCGGGATATCATGCTTGGAAGCGATAATTGGGGCCCATGGTTGAATAGTATCATAGATAAGGAGGTCTGGTTTTAGGGTTTTTAGCATTTTGGAGAAGTTGTGGCTTGACCAATCAAAGGCCTTTTTGAGGGTAGGCATGAGATGGGGTGGGAGGTTCTTGGTTGTGTGGCAATTTGGAGGAAGACCAGGCAAGGTCGGAACATGGAGTTCCACTAGTTGTATGGAATTTGCATCCTTCTCTGTGAGTCTTCTGTTAATGCAACTAAGATTCACCACTGTTGAACACAAGTATACCATGAAGTTTCTGCTTGAAAGTGTCATGGCTAGCTCTAGGAAAGGTGAGATGTGTCCATGTGCTAGCCATGGGAACATGAAAACTTTGATCTTTCTCTGCTCACACGCCATTAACTCTCTCTCTGAATGCTCTCTCTCTCTCTCTCTCTTCTAGGTGTGTATATCTTGATCCATATTGTTAGATATATAGCAACTGTTACAGGACTAAAATGGAAATATAAATGAGGGATTGAATAATTCTTCATAAATGATAGAGACTCTATTTTTTCTTAACCCCCACAACCCCCCACAGACACATATCAGTTAGTGATAAAGAAAAAAAAACAAAACAAAACAAAAAATAAAAAATTGACTAATCCCAATATATTGAGGGTGGTGGAGGTCTCGGAAAAAGGGGTCTCAACCTTTTTCCATAATTCTTTACGTGTGAATAAAAGGGGAAAAAAGAAGGAAAAGAATAAAAATCATTTGGAATATATTGCAACTGTATCAACTTGGATTTCATATTCTTATTATTCAATGGAATTGGAAGAAGTTGAAACGCCTTTCTATGATAAATGACTCTACTCTTGCTTTGAATGCATATGGTCAAAGATCCAAACTAACGAAATCAAAGTTATTATTGCAAAATTGGGATCTTTAAAACTTTTAATCTTTTTAGTGATGTATTTTTTATTTGGAATGATTTTATGTTCACTGATTATGGAAACATATAATACTATAGGGGAATGGCTGAATCTCTAGTGCATAAACACCATCTCGAGTTCCTTTAGGACATAATGATCTCTAACCTTTAAGTTAACAATGTGATGTATTTGAAGTTACAACTCAACACATTATGTCGGTGAATCAAAACTCACTAGTTAAGTTGTAACTCTGAGGACTTAAGAGTTGTAATTTTGAGCACATCCCATTGTAACAAGAGCAAGCAAAATTGGTAGTGTGCGCCCCTTTTGGTTATGATATGATCATACAATCATTTGACGCAATTTCCTGCGAGCTTAATACCAATAATGGTTTCATTTGGAAAGTTGGCTATTTTTTTTTATCAACAAAAAGAACAATTTTATTGATGGCAATAAAACATACAAAAAGTATGGAATACATCAACAAAGTAAGGTTGAAAATAAGCACCAAGAGCAACGCCCTATAATTTGCTAGCTCTCGCCAAAGGGTTATGAGAGGCCAATACCGGAAAAGAAACACACAAGTAGAGCACAAATATACAAATCAACGAACCAACAACACAGCATAACACTCCCATCTATTTTAGTAGGCTATTTTAATTTTTGACTAATTTAGTAGGGTAAAATATTTATATTTAGGAAGAATATTGGATTTTTTTATAGTTGAATATGATGCTTATGAGAAAAAAATGAAATGATTATGAGCTTGATGTGACACTTTATCTTATTAGCTATTTTAGCTTATTTTATTTTTTTGTGTGAATCTTAGTACCAAAAAACCAATTTTTGGCTTCCCAAACACTCCCAAAAATGGGTAACCTACTAATAGGTTCTAATGGCTGGATTTAATTCCCATCAAATCTTATTAAAAATAAGTCTTAGTAAAATCGTCACTAAAAATAATTTTTGATGAACTTACATGTAGGTTCTAATAGGCAGAATTATTGTCCAATAGATCCTGTGAGAATTAATGGTATTTTTCATCGAATACTATTTAAAAACGTTACTATTTGTTAATTTTCAGTGACAGTTTGAAAATTGTCACAAAAATATCACTAATTATTAGTTTTAGTGACAGTTTAAAAAAATTATCACAAAAAATTAACTAATTTTTAACTTTTAGTGACAATTTGAAAATTTTGTCATAGAACTAATTGTAAGTTTTAGCAACAATTTATAAAAATATTGACAAAAAAAAAATCATTAATTGTCAATTTTTAACGACATGTGTAAAAAATCGTCACAAAAAATTATTTTCAGCAACGATTTTACTAATAACTTTTTTAATAAGACTTTATGGAAATTAAGTCCAACTTTTAGAATTTATTGGTAGTTTACACATAATTTTTTGTGACGATTTTTGCATGTCACTAAAAATGACAATTAGTGATCCTTTTTTTTTCACAATTTTTATAAATTGTTGCTAAAACTTACAATTAGTAACTTTTTTTGTGACAATATTTTTAAACTGTAGCTAAAAGTTAAAAATTAGTGATTTTTTTGTGACAATTTTTTTAAACTGTCGCTAAAACTTATAATTAATGATTTTTTTGTGAATTTTTTTTAAATTGTTGTTAAAAATTAACAATTAGTGACATTTTTTAATAGTGTTTGGTGAAAAACGCCATGAATTATTATAGTACCTATTAGACAATAAATGCACAATTAGTCCACCTATTAGTACCTACACATAAGCTTTCTTAATAAAAAAGTAAAAATTAAAAATATCACTGTGTTTGATTTGAGTTTTTTGAGTTAAGTTTTTTAAAAACTGAGTTTTTTGATTTTTGTATTTTTTTGTTTTTAGTGAAGATTTTTAAAATTTTAAATATTTTTTTTTTTACTTTTTTAAATGCACCTCACTTAGATGTATCTAAAAAGTAAAAAATTTGTGAAAAAATATTTTTAAAAATTAACAAATACATAAAAATACAAAAAATGTATTGAATTCTCGTATTTTTTTTTGTATTTTTGGTATTTAGTGAATATTTAAAAGGTTTTTTTCAATTTTTTTTTTACTTTTTAGGTATATTTATGTTAGATATGTCTAAAAATTAAAAAAATTACTCAAAATATTAAAAAAAATCAATAAAAACAAAAAAACACGAAAAAAAAGAAAGTAAAATTTTCTGAAAAGTGTTTTTGAAAACTGGTAACCAAGCATAGTGAATCCCTAACTTCTTAAGAATTAATTTTTAAAATTATTTTTGCCTCATAAATTGTGAACTGTTACAAACTTCCAAAATAAAATAAAAAATTACAAACAACTTTATAAACTACACCAAAGTTTAAATTATGACACTATGCACTTAAGTTTGAGATAATGTTTCGTAACTCCAATAACTCTTAAGTAAGTTGCAATTCGATTTAATTGGGTTATAATTTCAAAGAGATTGTGTCATAACTTAAAATCTATTACAATGTAATTGGAGAAGGTAAACATTCTTTAATAATAATAATAATAAATCTATTTATATATAAATTTTACAAGAATATATGACAATGACATTATTATTACAAATAAATTTATCTTTAATGGTGTGCTATTTTGAAGTGAAATGAACCACACCATGATTGTATATGAATTTTTTTTGTTTGTATAGTTGCATATAATTTTATTTGTATTATATATATATGTGTGAGTGATTTTCTGACCACACTGCCCGTCTAGTAATCAGCTGGAGAGTATCGGCAGAATAGATGGCTTCAGCAAACCTGTAACAGAAAGAAAAGGCTCCGGCGGTGGCTCTTCCACCCGGGGGCACTCCGACGATCAAGTCAGTATATCTCTCAAAGATAATCAAGTGCTAAACTCACTATTCAAAGCATATAATTTGCGCCATCACATCACCTAGAAGCCACGTAGAAGAATCATAACAAAATGCAATCTCATGAATTATGATGAAAGATCGCAACATCTAACGATCACTATATGGCCAAATAAAAATAATGATTTTAAAATTTAGTAACCGTCGCATCATAAAGAATTATGAAATCAAAGTGTATCAAAACATGTAACGGTTGCTAACAGTTTCTTCAACCATAAGTTTGCCATTTCTTTTCTTGTTGAGGCTCAATTTATGCAGGAATTATCCTATCTTCTAGAAATTTTAATTAAGTTGTGTGTCATTTCAATTTTATTTATTATTTTATGCAATACATAAGAAAAAAAAATAGAAAATAGTGAGTACATAATCAATAAAATTGTAAGGGACCACATAGAATATGGTGTAGACCTATGTGATAATTTTTTCAACTTATGGCAAGTTAACCTTAAATTAAAAAAAAAAAGAAAAAAGAACCCAACCTAAATTTTTAATGGCAAATTTACTATAAATACCTTTTTTTTCTTCACAGAAAGTCAATAAATTTCTATGTCTTAGCTAAGCAATGAAAATGTACCAAGAACAGAATGGAAGGATGTCCACCATTTAGATAACTTTCCTACTCCTAGTTAAAGAAGTTTTAGGAATTTAGAAAAAAGAATCATAAATCTATTCAGAATTGACGTGACACATAATAACAATTTTAAATGTGCTTTCTATTTTTTGAATGTTTTCTAATTTATTTTATGGGTTAATAGAGTTTCTGTTTTAGTTATTACCATAAATTTTTTTATTTGAGTTATTTCCATCATTGACCATCATATCTTTGTGGGCTGGTCACGATCCAGTATGGTTTCGTGGACCATAGGGGCTTATTTTAGTATTCTGATCTATTGATTTTTAAAGTTTCCGTGGATAGATTATTCATAAAAGTAAAAATAGAACATTAAATTAATTCAATAACTGTAGTATATGATTTTATCACATTTGCTTTTATTTTATTATTTTTTAAAATTAATATGATAATTGTAATTTGTAACCACATAAATTCATTCCATTTGGTGTATAAATTGTTATGTTCTATTAAGTTATTGCTTTTCACTTACTCTTCTCTTTATTCAGTTAATGGCATAGATAATGAGAGACTAAATAGGAGCATGGACAGTTAATTTGTAATGTCTTGCCTCATATATTGCCTAGATCAAACTCGCATAAACTTTTATAATTTCTACAGTTTTAACAGCACATTTATGTATATATATAGTTGGGGTGATTAGTGTGTTTAATCACTTTTTATTTATTTATTTATTTATTTTTGCTGGTGTGTGTTTAATAACTTTTTTTTTTTTTTTGGATCAGGATGTTTAATAAATTTGAATACATTAAATATGTTATCCAATAAATTATACTTAAAGCCATGAATCAAGTATAAAAAAACACATTATAATGGTTGTTATTAATGTTGGATTGAGAGACCCCCCTCAAGGGGTAATTAAGAGAAATAGATTTTATAACAATTCCTGTGAAACTGTTGTAACCGGAATGAATGTCTTTTTGAAAGTATTCAACTAAAGATGCATGAGTTGCAGGAGCTTATCAT